CATGTGCCGGGAAACCTCTCCTGCTTGGCGATTGGCTCTCGTTCGTCCTTCTGAAGAGCGACTTGGACGCGGGAGGAGGAGGAGGAGGAAGACCGCTGATGAGTCCTCTCGTGTGCTTCGATCCGACGCTGTGCAATCCCCGAGGGAATGGAAGAGGCATCTTGTGTGTCGGCCGCTTGCAGCTCAGCGCTTACCCGCCTGCTTGGCATGACTAAATTCTTTGCTTCCGCAACTCCGAAACAGCATCTTTTCGGCGGATGCCTGTCGTGGCGGGGGGTGGGGGGGGGGTTGTTCCCAGCTCCCTTCCAAAGAAGGACCGCCACGAGTTGGGCTCTTCGGCTGGGAAGAGTGAAGAGAGATGCGCTAGGCTGGAGCTACGAGCAGCTTTTCTCCTACACGGCGTTAACGCTGGATGGAGATCATGTATCCAAGCTACGTGCAGACAGACTCAGGACTCACAGAAGGAAATATTCTGTTACTATGTCCTCTTAACCTGGAGATTTTGAAGAGTTAACTTTTTTCCTAAACAGTCAAGCTTCATATAATTTACAGTAGAATGGAATGGAATAGGAATAAAACGTAGACACACAAGGAATTTGTCTCTGGTGCAGAAGGTCTCAGTGTACATAGTAAAGCAACAGTCATCATCATTTATTATTTATTAATTCAATTTATATGCCGCCTTTCTCTGGAGACTCAGGGTGGTTTACAATGCATTAAAAAAAACCATCTCAATAAGGGGGTAGTAAACAAGATAAGAAGGATAATAATGCTACATATAACATAGGTAAATTATGTAGACTTAGTAATGTGAGAATTAGGTGTTCAGTAGAGTGATGGCATGAGGAAATAAATTGTCCCTGTGTCTATTTTTTTTGGCATGCAATGGCCTATAGTGGCATCCCAAGGGGAGGAGTTGAAACAGTTTATGTCTAGAATGTAGATATGGTATTTTCTCAGCTCTCCTTCTATCCGCACAATATACAGGTCTTCAATGGAAAGACTGCTTACAATTGTTTTTTCTGCAGACTTAACTATCTATCTGTTGGAGTCCGTACCTGTCCTGTTTGGTTGCTGTATCAAACCAGACAGTTATAGAAGTACAAATGACAGACTCAATAATTTGTCTGTAGAACAGCATCAATGGCTCCTGGGGCAGTCTGAACTTTCTGAATTGATACAGGAAGAACATTCTTTGTTGTGCCATTTTAATGATGGTTCTAACGTTAGGTGTCCATTTCAAGTCCTGGGAAATTATAGGACCCAGAAACTTGAAGGTCCCTATTGTTGATACTGCGTTCTCTAATATTGTAAGAGGTAGTAGAATAGGAGGGATCCTCCTAAAATCCAATCTCATTTCTACAGTTTGAAGCATGTTCAGCTCCAGATTGTTCCAGCTGTACCACAGGGCCAGTTGTTCAACCTCCCGTTTATGTGTAGGCTTGTCACTGTCTTGAATGAGACCAATGACTGTTGTATCATCTGCAAACTCCAGTACCTTAACAGAGGGATCCTTAGGGATGCAGTTATTGATATATAGAGAGAACAGCAATGGAGAAAGCATACACCCTGTGTTAATTGCCCAGGTATTAGATCTAATTTTCCCTAGCTTCACCTGTTGGTTCCTATCTGTCAAAAAGCTACTGTAATAATTCACCTACAAGTATGGACAGGCACAGCTAGCTGAATCAGTTTACAGTGAAGAATTTCTGGAATGATAATATTGAATGCCAAGCTGAAATCTACAAAAAAGACCCATGTATAGATCCCCAGGGATTCAAGATATTGTAAGATGTTGGGTACTGCTACTGTATGTTGAAAATGCACATGCACTGAAAATAAGAGTTTGGAACTCCTGTGCAATTATTTGAAAGTACATTTATTAACCAGAATGGCATTTAATTTTCAGTAAACATATTTAAGGTATTATATTCTGCCTGTTATTTATTTTTTTCATTTTTTAAGAAGAATAATTGCAGGGGAGACTAATACAGAGAGTTAAATTGGTGTAATGTTTAAGCATCAAGCTAGAAACCCAGAGATCCCGAGTTCTAACCCTGCCTTAAGGTACAAAAATAGCTGGCTAATCTTGGGCTAGTCACTTTCTCTCAGTCCTAGAAAGGAGGCAGTGGCAAAGCATTTTTGAAAAACCTTCCCAAGAAAACAGCACACAGTGTAGGAGAATTGGACAGAAAGAAAAAATAATAATTTTCAACTGCCAGTTATACATCTCTTTGTGGGCATATTTAATTATATATACATAAAATATAATTCAGTGGTTTTCCACCCATTGTGCACTCATGCTAGTTAAGGATAAAATAAATAATAAAAATCTTACTAAAATTACTGGTTAAATTACAATTGAAATTAAATATGAACTGATTATGAAAAACTTATGTTGTGCAACCTGTGCTTCTTTGAATAATGTTGAACTACGATTTCAGATTGACAATAGAAATTCTATATTTTGGGACCCCCTCGTTGGGGCAGCTGTGAATTGCTTTGGCATATGACTTTACAGCAGTAAATGCCATAAATTTCAGAACAAGTAAGTACTGTCAGTATTTGTTTCCCATTGATGATAATCAGAAACGTTGGCTGTGCTGCCTAAACAAGTCTGGGTTATGACAATCCAGTTTTCTGGATTTGCAATGCATGATATACTGGACCATAAATTTACCCCATTGGTGGGATTGCACAACGCTCCATGCTAAAATGTGGTTGGCTAGTTTGTAGTTTGGTGCATCTTGTGAAGGTAGCCATGGTTTGAGGACATACCAATTTAGCTTTTTGCATGTTGGCATTCCTCAAAGTATGATTTCCATCACTATCAGCCAACAAAGAAAGTTGCATGACAATGATTCAAATTGTAGGGCCTTTTCCAGGTGCTGAGGTAATGCTCTCCTTTGGTTCTTGAGTTTCAGAAAACCTTGAGGTTTCTGAAGATTCCGTATTTACAGTCCCATTGCTGATCCAGCTCCTGCCTCTCTTGCCTCGGTAGTCGACCTATTTCCTTCCAAATAATAAGTGACCAGTTTAAGAGACTGAATACTTTCTGGCTGCTCTGCATGTTGTTGCAATACTGGAGGAAATACTATTTGAATGCAGTGGTGGGATTCAAATTTTTTTACTACCGGTTCTGTGGGCGTGGCTTGGTGAGCGTGGCAGGGGAAAGATATGTAAAATCTCCATTCCCTCCCCACTCCAGGGGAAGGTTACTGCAAAATCCCCATTTCCTCCCGATCAGCTGGGACTCTGGAGACAGAGAATAGATGGGGGCGGGGCCAATCAGAGGTGGTATTTACCAGTTCTCCTAACTACTCAAAATTTCTGCTACCGGTTCTCCAGAATTGGTCAGAACCTGCTGAATACCACCACTGTTTGAATATAATGTACAGCTAAAGGATGTGTTAAGGCCAACTCTCTCAGAGGCAGGGGTATAAAGCAAAGACAACAGAGCACGCAGGAACAAATATCAGGGGATGATGGCACTGGGTGTTTGTGCCAGTGGGAAAGGCCTCATTGAAGAAAACATCTACAGGTAATCTTTGACTTACAACCATTTGTTTGGCAACCGTTCAAAGCTACAATGCCATTGAAAAAAAAGTGACTTGCAACCAGTTCTTTCACACCCATTGCAGCATCTCCCAATGATCACAATTATGGGATCAAAATTTGAGTGCTTGGCAAACTAGTTTGGATTTACAATGGTTGCTGCTTCCCAGGGTCCTGTGATCACCCCTTGTGGATTTTTCAGCAGGCTTTCAACAAGCAAAGTCAATGAGGGAAGCCAGATTTAGTGAAGGATTGCATGATTCATTTAACAATTGTGGCAAAAAAGGTAGAATTGGGCGCAGCTCACTTAACCGCTTGCTTAGCAATAAAAATTCTGGTTCCAGTTGTGATCTTAAGTTGAGGACTTCCTGCAGAACATAAGAGTTACAGAAGGCAGCGATATACCATAAGCAGCATTGAGTCTGACAATTCCTCAACACAAGAATACTGAATGTGGATCCATCTGATTATCACAGCAGCTTTCTAGACTCCCTCAGTGTTTTTCAAACTTGGTGACTTAAGGTATGTGGTTTCACACATGCTGGCTGGAATTCTGGGAGTTGAAGTCCACACATCCTAAAGTCACCAAGTTTGAAAAAGAGTACTCTAAATTAGTGGTGAAATCCAATTTTTTTTACTACCAAGATTCTGTGGGCATAGCTTGGTGGGCGTGACAGGGGAAGGATACTGCAAAACCTCCATTCCCACCCCACTTCAGGAGGATACTGCAAAATTCCCATTCCCTCCCCACTCCTAGGGGAAGGATATTGCAAAATCTCCATTTCCATCCCACTCTGCGGCCAGCCAGAGGTAGCATTTGCAAAATTTCCGCTACCGGTTCTCCAGAACCTGTCAGAACCTGCTGGATTTCACCTCTGCTCTAAATGCAATTTTATACTGTCTTAATTCTGTGGACAGAATTTCAAGAGTTTTATATCAGAAGTGAGGAACGAGGGCCCCTTTGACTTGTGGACTTCAATTCCCAGAATTCCTGAGCCAGCCCGGCTCAGCGTGGCTGGCTCAGGAATTCTGGGAATTGAAGTCCACGGGTCATAAAGAGGCCATAGTTCCCCGCCCCTGGTTTATATGAACGCCCAGCTAGGACATGCAGTGAAGGAAAAGACTGCTGGTGTTGAAGTCCCCTCAGTGACGGGGCGTTTAAAGCGAGGCGAGGAAGAAGGCTTCCCGGCGTCTCATAAGACTGCGAGGACCTGGCGCTGAAGGAGGTGGAGCTCCCGAACGACGCAACAAGCGAAAACATCCTCCCCTTTCAGTTTACGCAACAGCCTCGCTTGGATCTTCGCAATCAGCCACGCCCCTTCGTCGGCTTCCCTCTGCTCTTTTTTTTTTCTCCCGCCGCTCAGGGCGGAGCTAATCGACTCCAGACCCGCCCATCGCTCGCGGCCCCGCCCCTCTCGCGCGCTCTGTGCCCTTTGACGTGGCACCGGTTTCTTTCCCCCCCCCGCCCCTTCCTCAGCCATGATTGTTGCGTCGGCGGCGCTCAGCTTGCTGGGTTCAGTGTGCGCGAGAGCGAAGTGAGAGAGGCGGTTGGAGGCTCGCGGAGCCGAGGTGAGTCGCGTGAACGGAGGGACGGATGGAGGCGGCACCGAGGAGGCTCGGTCCCTCGTCGTCTGGGCCGGGGAAGCTGAGGGGGGGGGGGCACCCACCGGTCCAGTATAGGGAGCGGGAAAGGAGAAGGGGTCTCTTTCGATTTCTTCCGAGCCCGTCGACTCCCCTTACCGGAGGGGATGCCGTTCGCGCTCCTTTGCCCAGTATCCTAAGATGTCCTCGCGGGTTTAAAGCTGGAGGGGCTTCCCTTCCTTTGAAATCGTTTAGCCTGGTGTCGGTGGAGGTTTCGCCTTCAGTATCTTCTGTCCTGCCCGCCTTTATCCGTTCTTCTCCCTTCCTCTTCTTCCAATCACTCCCCCCCACCCCAACATAGCTTTAAACCCCAAATTGGGTTTCCAACATTCGGCGAGAGGGTTTCCCAACTTGGGAAGGAAGGCATTGTGGGTGTGAATTGGGCAGATCAGTGAGTGTTCTGCTTCCCTGTTGAAGTGGGCGTGTTTGAACATTAGAGAATCATGGAACTATCATGTGGAGCTGGACTCTCTTTCTCTCTCTCTCTCTCTCTCTCTCTCTCTCTGTGTCTTTGACCATCCCATCTTCTCTGGAAGGGAGGTCTAAAGTCTGATCCTCCTAGTTGCATTGAGTTGTATCTCTGCAATCTAACCTCTGACATCATCCCAAGGTGAGATCGTGTACAGGTAGTCCTCAACATACAACCACAATGGAGCCCAACATTTATGTTGCTAAGTGAGAAATTTGTTAAGTGAGTTTTGCCCCATTTTACGACTTTGCTCGCCATTTTTGTTAAGTGAATCACTGCAGTTGTTAAATAAGTAACACGATTGTGAAGTGAATCTGGTTTCCCCATTGACATTGCTTGTCAGAAGGTTGCAAAAGGACTCTGGGACACTGCAACTGTCATAAATGTGAGTCAGTTATCAAGCATCCAAATGTAAATCACGTGACTATGGAGATGCTGCAACAGTCATAAGTGTGAAAAATGGTCATAAGTAACTTTTTTTAGTGCTGTAACTTTGAACTGCTGTAAATTGAGGACTATCTATATTAAGCCTATTTCTAAAGCAAAAAAGAGAGAGAGATCAGTGTCCTTTTTTAAAATGGAAGTAGGCTGTGGAAAAAGTGTCAGTAAAAAGGAGTAGAATAATGTAAAGAGGTTCTTAAAATCAAAACATTAAGCGGGAAAGAGAGAAGAAAGGACTAGATTAGGTTTTTTTTGGGGGGGGGAGAAGCTTAGTAGATTTTTGTAAACTTGAATATTTACTTTTTATAAATTCAAGTGTGTCTGCTCACTCTGCTGCTAGTGGCAAATATTGCCAGTTGTACAAAATAATACATGTATGATATGTTCCTCAAAAACAATGTAGTTCTGAATCAGACAGTAGCAAATATGGCTTGAGCTTTTGTAAGCCAAGATGTTAGATGAATGAAGGGGAACTTCATAGGATTTGAAGGGGCCTTGGAGATTTTATAGTCCAACCTTCTGCCAAGATAGGAGTCATCGTACCATCTTGGATAAATGGTTATCCTAGCCTTCCTTGAAAACCTTCAGTGATGGAGCACCAACAACTCTGGCAGGCAGATTGTTCTATTGATTATAGTTCTCACTGTCAAGAAATTTCTCCTTATTTCCAGGTGGCTTCTTATCTTTACTTCAGGTGCTATGGAGAATAAATTGACATCTCTTCCCTTGGTCATCAAGTATTGTTATCATGTCTGCCTTCTGTCTAAATATACCTAGTTTTTTCAGCCATTCTAAAGAAGCCATAGAAAGATTTAGCTTCCAAGACTCTTATCATCTTTGTTTCCTTTTCTCTTTCTAGGGCCTCAGTATCTTTTTTGTGTGAAGTGTCAGAACTGAACACAATATTCCAAATGTGGCCTTACCAGTGCAGTGTAGATAGAGCATATCCCTTGATCTTGATACTATCCTTCAGTTGATACAGCCCAGCCCAGCCCAGCCCAGGACTGTGTTGGCTGTTTTGACAGCTGCAGCACACTGCTAACTCATACTTCAGCGGTGGTCTAGATCCCCCTTATAGGTACTACTGTTGAGCCAAGTACTGCCTATCCTGTATCTGTGCAGCTAGTTTTTCCTGCCTAAGTGCAGGATATTACTTTTCTTGCCATTGAACTTCATCTTGTTGGATAGGCCCCAATGCTCAAACCTGTCAAAATTCAAAATCTGAATCATGACTCTATTTTCTGAAGTGTTAGCAGTTCCCACCAGCTTTGTGATGGGAACAAATTTGATAAGTGCCCCTTCAATCCCCTCATCTAGGTCATTTATGAAGATGTTGAAGAGCAATTGTCCCAAGATAAAACCTTGAAGAAGCTCATCGCATACTTCCCTCCATATAGATGTAGTTCCATTAAGGATCACAAGTTGAATGTTTTTGATAGAGATACTGTCTGTCTTACATTGTTCTATTTTATTGAGAAATAGGCTGTGGTCTATTTTACAAAATGCCTTACTGAAATCTACCATGTTTCCCCGAAAATAGAACATGTCCTGAAAATAAGGCCAAGCCTGATTTTTGGGGTTGGCCTAAATATATGCCCCTCCCTGAAAATAAGTCCCCCCTCTCTCACGCACACACAGGTCGCTCACCCCACCAACCCTCCCAAGGCAGACACATCCCTGTGAACTCCTGCAGCCCCCGCCCTCCCTCGCTTTTGGCTGCATGCAAGGAAAGCAGCAGAAGTCTTTCTTTCTCTCCCCCAAACTCTGCCTCTGTGGCTTCCAAACCCCAGCCAGGACAGCAGCCGCTCGGGGAGTGTGCTTCCCACTCTATTGTGATGGCTGGAGCTGGACCCTGCAGGGAGAGCTGGCCCAGGCTGTGGCTTCCATGCGGGTGCTGGTGGTGGGCGTCGGCGGCATTGGCTACAAGCTCAAGGACCTGGTGCTCTCCGGCTTCGCCCACATCGACGTGGTGAGGCGTAGGAGGCGCGCAAGCAGGGAGGTGGGGACAGGCACTCACGTGGGTTGGTGCCTTCGGGCCGCTCGCGTTCTACATACGCACACACACACACCATGGGAGGGGAGGGGCTTGATGGTGGCATGCGAAGGGAGCCTCTCTGCCGGATTCCCGGCTGTGAGTGCGCAGGCGGTCCAGGGCCTCCTGCACCCCTGAAATAATAAGACCCCCCCCCCGATAATAATGCCAAGCCCTTATTTTGGGATTCAAAAGAAAATAAGACCCTGTCTTATTTTCGGGGAAACACGGTAAGTACGCTGTATCCACAGCATTTCCTTGGTTCATTAATTTAGTCACTTTATCAAAGAAGGCAGTAATAACCAATTTCTTAAATATTTTGACCTACATTTCTCTTTTGTTTCCCAGGTTGCTGTTTTTGATAGGTTGGACTATTTTTTTTTTACTTTTGCAAAAAGACAGATGCAAAAAAGGAATCAAGCAGTTCTGCCTTCTCCCTACTGTCACCTTTTTGTTATTTTCTCCTAGTGAATCAACCATTTCCTTGACTTTCCTGTAGCTCCTTACATATTGAATTTTCTTGTTATTTTTGGTATTTGTTGCAAGTGTTAGCTCATTCGTGAACCTTAGCTGTCCTGATTCCGTCCTTGTAAAATTGTGCTATTTTCTGGTAATACGCTCAGGTTACAAGACCCTCTGCCTATTCTTTATACTTGTCCTCTTTGTCCCTCAGCTTGTCATACAGTTCTTTGTGCAACCATGCTGGTCTCCTCAAATGTCTCTTGTTTTACTTTCTGTGTGATATTGTTTTTGTTTGGGCCTTTATTATCTCATTTTTCAGAGTTTTCTATGCATCCTGATTTTTTTCTCCAGCTAGAATTTCCATCCATGGAATCCTTCTTATTCTTTGTCTTAGTTTGTTGAAGTCAGCTCTCTTAAAATCTGGAACACTAGTCCTTCTTCAGTTACCTTTGCATGCAGTATGGTGAATCCTTATATGATACGGTCACTCTCTTCCAAAGTTCCTACAATTTCCACTTCCTCGACCACTTCATCCCTATTAGTAATTATCCAGTGTAGTTGATCCTTTAGTAACCTCTCCATCTTTTGGGTGATATGTATGTTAGGAACCTGTCAGGGTAAAGTTCCTCTTTACTACAGTATGTGTTTCCTGGATACTTCAACTAACTGATTTATAAAAAAAAGTTCATCTATTTCTTCTGCTTGGCTGTGTGGCTTGTAATACATACCTATACAATGTCATTTCTTTTTCCCTTGTAATTACAAGTACCTTAAACTTACATTTTTAAAGAGTGAAAAAAGGCAACAAGAAAATTATGCAATATCTGATTTTTTTAAATATAAAAGTACTGTATCAGATTTTAAAATCTGACAAATTAAGATTTTATGTACTTTAATTAAGAGATTGAAAGACATGAATATTAACTGTGTGTAACGTATTCCATGGGGATTTGCAGAAAAAACAAGTTATACCCCAAGGGACTAATTTGTAGTCATCTGTTTTCCAGCTTGACTAGGCATATTGAAATAGAATTAAATATTTTTTTCAAAGGGATAGCTGAATATGTGCAGAAGGTTGTTTCCTGGACTTTGAATTGATTACAGTAATTGTTTGACTACAGTAATAAATAGACATATAGCTGATAAATATGTTTAGAAAGAATTAAGTCCATGATGTAGTGGTTGATGTAATGGTTTATTTTTTATTTATTAAATTTCTATGCCATCCAGCTCTCCTACAAGGGACTCTGGGTGGCTTACAAATTATAGAAAAAACTGAAAAAAATTTAAAAGATTAAAATAAACTGACATTAAAATATTAGTAAAAACTGCACTAAAAACTGCAAAATCTCCATTCCTACCCCATTCCAGGAGAAGGATACTGCAAAATCCCCATTCCCTCCCCACTCCTGGGGCCAGGCAGAGGTGGTATTTGCCGGTTCTCCGAACTGCTTAAAATTTCCGCTACTGGTTCTCTAGAACCTGCTGGATTTCACCCCTGGTTCAAAGGTAACCTCGTGTAGAGCGCATTACAGTAATCCAGCCAAGATACGATTAGAATTTGAGTAACCATGCACAGGGCCCCAGGATTCAGGTAAGGATGCAACTGGTGCACAACGTAAAGTTGCACAAAGTTGCACAAAGGCCATCCTAGCCACGACTGCCTTTTGAGCAGGAATTGTGAATTGTGCAAGTTGTCCACTGAATCAGTCTGGGGTAGTGCAAATCCATGCAGAGTTAATGAGTTAATGATGATAAATCACCAGATCCAGAGATCCCTTGCACAAATTTGAAATTTGATGGTAATAAAGTTTAGTACAGTGGCCCCATTTTCTGCTTAAAAGTGAAAAAAATAGCTGTATTAAACTTCTGATAGCACAACTATTTTGCTGAAAAATATCCAAGAAACTGAAACAATAACTGTATCACGACTGCAGTTCATCTATACATAATTTATTTTTCCCTTAGTAGTTCCTCAGAGAGCAGCCATGACATGTAAAATCGTTACCTACCTGCTTCTAGGGAATTTTAGATATCATCAAATATCATGAAGCTCAGTAACTCCTATGACCAGCATTTTATCCTACCTTTTCCTGATTTGTACTTCAAATGCCTATTTGATTAAGACATTCTTACTTTATCTTAATATAATACCTAGTACTATTGTAGTTAGATAGTTACTTTTATTTAATTCATTCTGTCCAATAGAAGAGGTGGGCTCTGGTTTCTGCTTCTATTGCATATTGCTACTGAGTTTGCACTAAATAGGTTCCAAGTTTTGTGTACTATAACAATTGTCCTTGGTTAGCACATAAGAATGTATGATGTATACTGCAGAGTAAACTAGGTTGAATTTGTTAGTTTAAATGCAGCAGTTCTTTTAGGCTGTTTTCAAATGAATGCAAGTGATAACCATGATAATTTGTCAAAATAAGATTTTTCAAAATGAAGCTACATAGTAGGATAACACCTACTATAATTTCAGAATTGTTGTAATGTTTTGGAGTGAAACCGTTGCTTAAGGTACATGTGCTTGTGCATTTGGAAATGTCCAAATTTGCATTTTGTTAAGCAGTGAAATAGTTACTAAAGAGAACAGAGACTCCTAATTGTTATTCATTTTCCTTCTATAGTTTTATGGATAGACAGGAATTTTCATGGTTTCCAGATGACTGGTAATGAAAGTACATGAATTCCCTAAATATAGAAGTCACCAACATTTATGGCTTGGCGGCTTGACTGGGGGGGGGGAGGAGAAGAGGGGAACTGGGCTGTGGGAGTGGTGGGCTAGTGTATACGCAACCCTTGTGCAAGTGGTGGGCTGGCAAGCATGTGCCGGCCCACTGCTCACACAAGTTAAGCTGTGAGTGTGCATGTTCCGGTCAGCACCTCACGCAGCCCAGTTCTGAATAGGCCAGGACCCAGTAGTGGGCCTGTGCCTGGGATTTGAGGACCCCTGCCCTAAAAGTATTGCATTGCTTTTAATTTATCCTCAAGAACTTGCATGGTTAAATTCAATATATCTTTTCGCTACAGATACAAGAGCTTCATAATGACAACCTTCTTGGAGTTCATTCAGCAAAATGAAGATAGAGATGGTGTTAGATTCAGCTGGAATGTGTGGCCTTCCAGTCGTCTTGAAGCCACAAGAATGGTGGTTCCAGTTGCTTCTCTGTTCACACCACTAAAAGAGCGTCCTGATTTGCCTCCCATTCAGTATGAGCCAGTTCTCTGCAGTCGCACTACCTGCCGTGCTGTTCTAAATCCGTTATGGTAATTCCAATAAATATTGTTGGTTTTGCTGACATGTTATTAGTCTTGTGATTAAAAGATTGCTTTGTCCCAATTTTACCAATTATGAGCAGTCAGTCTTTGTATAGCGTTATAGCTGTTTCCTAGAAACCCAGGTGCTATGTACTGTTACGCAATGTGAATAACAGAGCTTATAGAAAAAAATGAAGTTGGGGCAGATCATTCAAGAATGACAACACATTCTCAACCCAAATATTACTAAACACAATAAGCCTATTAAAGTACTTACGTAGTTGAAAAACATATTAAATGCATAAGTAATGCAAATTTAGACTCATTTTGAAAATAAGTGAAAACAGCTTGAGGGATAAAAGATGAATTGAGGCTGAAGACTTACGAAGACAATGGAACAAAAGGATGACCGTCAATGATGAAGAAGAACAGATGCAGGATTTAGATGAATATGGTCACATCACATGCTTCTCTTGTAAATAGCTGCTTATATGGCTTTAAATAAGATTAAAGTGCATGGCCTGCTATTCTCCTTTCTGCACTGTCTTCTAACCATTGCAAGTTCTTCCCAAATGCAATTAGAACTGAAGCAGAATGCTTTTTTATGGTGGCTTGCTGGACAGTGACTTTACTTGACCTTCATCAATAAATTGTTGCAGTTCTTTGGTTGAAAATTACTTTGCATGAGATTGAAACAGCTCCTCTAAGTCCTCTTCCTCCACTGTCAAACCCAGCCTGCTGAGTGAGAGAAATACAGTTTGCTTTTATTTGGAAAACACTTTTATGTGGTCAACCCCTTTCAAATTATACATAAAATCAGAAGGTCCACCAAGCACTATGAGAATAGTCTGTTTTAACCTCATTTTGAGCTTACAGAATAATACAAATTGCATTCTTTATGTTGAATTGCTGCAAAAATTGAACTGTGCATTTTTATCCTCAGTAGCTGTGATAGCCATCTTATATAACAATGTACAAAATCAACAAAACTGGAGTTTTTGCTACTTTCCTTGGTAGCTCCTTGATTGGAGTATTACTATAGTAGATGCATAGGTGGCAGCCTCTCCCTTCACTAGCACCAATTATGTTACGTAGTTGGGTTATGAAACATACTGCAAGAAGCAACCAAACTCAGAGACCTCCAAGGACTCCATAGTTTAGCCCTGAGCAATATATTCTATTGATAGCAGTAATTCTCTGATTGAGAGGTTGGAAAAGTATTGTTATTTGAGGAAATAAAAATAGGATTTTAATTTTTGGTGAGAGCTCAGTAATGGCCAAAGGATGATTTGATGTACAGGTAGTCCTTGACTTACAACTATTTGTTTAGTGACCAAAGTTACAAAGGCACTGAAAAAGTGACATGACCATTTTTCACACTTAGGATCATTGCAGCATTCCCATGGTCAAGTGATCATAATTCAGACGCTTGGCAACTAGTTCACATTTATGATAGTTGCAGTGTCCTGTGGGGGGTATCATGTGATAACTTTTTATGACCTTCTGACAAGCAAGGTTAATGGGGAAGCCAGATTTACTTTACAACTGTGTTACTAACTTAACAACTGAAGCGATTCACTTAACTGTGGCAAGAAAAGTTGTAAAATGGGTCAAAATTCACTTAACTGTCTTGCTTAATAACGAAGTTTCAGCTCAATTGTCATAAGTCGAGGAATACCTGTATTGTCCAAAACAATTAGATTAATAAAATCACAGTTTTGCTCTTATAAACACTTCAATTTTGTTTTCTTCAGTTTAAGATATCCTCAGATATGTTGAGTAGAAGTTTAAATAAGGTCTGCTCTATCTTTTACCCCCTTTTAATGTGTCTGATATAGACACCAATGACCATATCCATTTTGGGGCTTAGTAATTGGTTGCATGATAAAAAGTTACAGGCTTCAGTTTCAGGTTGCTAGTTTAAGCATTATAGTCAATCTATCCTTAACACCTTTGAATCCTGGAGCTTAAATGCTTCCTTCCCTGAAATATCAGTTTGTGATGGCTTGTTTTCCAATGAAAACCAATTGCATCAAAACAATATCTGAACAATGTATGTATAGTCTTTGTAGTAAATTATTTTTTATTATTGCAGAAAATACCCTCAGCAAAAAACTTCCTGTTATCCTCTCAGCATTTCTTCTGATTGTTTCTAGTACTGCTAGTAGCACACACAATGTCACACATTTCATTTATTTCAAAAGAAGTTTGAACATTTCAAAATAATTCTGTGATGCTAAAGCTTTTCTGTTTCTTTCTCTGCCTGAAATTTTATCATCAGCATGTTTCTTTGGTATATTTTTTTCAACTAGTGTACTCATTTGGAGGGGGGAGAAGCACAGCTGAGCTGTAATAATACTCCAAAATTGAGGAGAGAGCTGCCATAGACACTAACAAAGTACCATATATGTGGTAACTGATTTGAGTAAACAGTGAATAAAGCAGCTAACTATTGTGTTCAAGTGGTTATAGCTTGCTATGTTCATTTGCCATTTCTGATTGATGCCATATTGAAACTCAGGAAAATTATGTGTAAATCATGCTATGCAAACATTTTTCTCTTTATCATTTGTATATGAATAAATTAGTATTGCATAAACGTACTACAATATATGAGAACTGATTCTACAGTGAACTTAGCCCAGCAAAAACTAATTAGAGAGGAGCTAAAATAGAGCATCCAAAGAGTCAAATTTAATAAGTTTTATTAAATAAAATCTAGAGATGAAAGTATGTAATCTATATTCAGATTTGAGCTTGAAACTGCATTATCTCATAATTTATTGAAACATTTAATATTATGTTTGTAGCCAGGTTGATTATCGAGCAAAACTATGGGCTTGCAATTTTTGTTATCAGAGAAATCAGGTAAGTCAACACTTATATTTGTCCCAGCTATTCTAACATTTTTTTTGCTTTATTAAACATACAGATATTATAGTGACAGCATGGTAAAAATAAAAAAAATGTGAAAATCATTTTGATGTTATGTAGAAATGAATCACTGTTAAATCTGAAATAATAGTTAATGAGCAAATGTTGGGTAAGTAAAGAAAAAGGAACTGTAAATCCTGGAAAAAAGTGTCATTTTCTTATCTTTGTTGAAAAAGGATTACATTTTTTGACAAGCAAAATAGTATTAGTAATTTTTTATATGTCAAATGTAGATTAATCTTTCTGATAAAGTATATGGATAATCTTTACTTAATGACCATAATTGGACTAGAATTTCCATCATTAAGCAAAACGGTAACTAGGTAAAGCACCACGTAACCACCCTTTAGTGATGGCAGTTCCAATCGTAGTTGTTAGGCGAGGACCATGCCATCATTTGGCAAGGATCTCATGCCTACTACACTCATTTCTGCTTCAACTCTCCCCATCTGTTCATATTTCCATCACTGTCATTTTGGCCACCCTGCATTTTCTGGTCTTATTCCTATTCTCTAGTTGATCTTCATTATCTTGTTCCATTTGCTGCTGGCTTAGGATCCAGGCACTGGGCACGGGTAAAGACCCGAAACAGATCCTTGCCTGCTGAAGTGAGCTTGCTGAGCCTGTCTGATGGGACAGCAAGGCATGGTGTGTTCCATTACCAGGCGAGGCAGGAAAAGTTACAGTGAAAGTGGAAGCAATGAGGGAGGTGCTGTTCAAGATGACAACAGAATTAGAGGAAGCTGAAGGCTAGGAACTTCCTGGAGGTGCAGTGTGTGGAGACAGTCCTGGAGAACCAGCCTGCCAGGCTTCAGCAAGGAGTGGAGGCAAGCCTACTGTCAACCTAGGCGTGGTCCCTCTGTTCTCTCTTGGCTCAGCCTTCCTTCTGCAAAGCCTTGCAAAGGACTAGCAGCTTTCAGTGCACTGAAGCCCACAGACCTGTTCTCCCAGGGCACTTCTGACATATGCTCTGCTGCTCTTGTCCCTCCGCTTCCTCCAGTTCTGCTGTCACCCTGAGCAGCACTTCCTGCATAGTCTCCACCTTTACCTGGGGAGCCACCTCCTCTCCTGCATAGCCTAACAATGGAGAGTTCCTCCCTTTGCCACCCTGCTGTCTCTTCCCCTGTAGGGCCTGGCAAACTCCCTTCAGTTGACAAGGCTCTGTCCATCCTGCTGCACTTGCTGTGTATATCCCAGGGCTGCACTCTTGCCCAGCTCCTGCATACTGGCCCTGCAGGAAGAGGAAGAAGACTGTGAAGGTCGATTGGGGGTAGTGGCAGTGTGGGGGGGCGAGGTAGCAGGAGTATGTGGCAAACAGCAGGTGATGAAAAGTGTAGAACCCAAATATTGATCATATGACTGTGTGGGTGCCGCATTGCCCAGAACTCCAAGGAGGGCTGGTTGTAAGTACCATTTGTTCAATGACACTAACTTTGAGTGGTCACTGAACAAACCAAAGAACACAAATAGCAATTTGTTGTCAGCCATTCCGTTGAATCCAATCCTCGGCCACTCTAATTAATATCAAAATAAGTCCAAAAATAAATTGAGGACTAGCTTTCCTTATTGTGATGTGCACCCCAGGCTAAAATGATGAATGGTAAGTCTGAAAGATTTCAGGTAGAATGATATGGTATGAATATTAAGATGCACAAATAGAAATAAGGATAGTAATAAAATTCAGAATGTGATGTGTTAGGTTTATATGAACATTTCTGTCATTTTTCTTTCAGTTTCCTCCTACATATGCTGGCATATCTGAGATGAACCAGCCTGCAGAACTTTTACCACAATTTTCTAGTATTGAATATGTTGTACAGGTAAATATGATTAAAAATTTAGAGGTGAATGTTGAGCTAGTGAACAATAGTAGAGGGAGAAGTTGTGATGGCCAGTATGGCAGCATATTATAACAATATGCATTATCGTTTGTTAAAATAATGGAATAAATCAAAATTATGCTTTTCACTGTTTGGCATAATTTGATGTGGTATATCATAGGATGGTATGATTTATTTTGTAACAACAGCATAGATACTTCTCATATCATTATAGATATTACCTATCACATTTGTTCTTAACACATTGAACAGTATAACAACATAAACTTGAATTGCACAGAAATATGCTCAAATTCTACATTTGCAGAACTCAATACATCTTTGTGAATATTTGTTTATTGTTTTTAAAAAAACCCTAACTATGAAAGAAGAATAGGAATAGGAATAAGAATAAGAATAGGAAAGCAAAAAATCAATAATAGTTTTATAAATATTATAAAACTGAATAACATTTTCAAAGTAATCTTAGTCTATATATTAAGATGTCAATTTAACAATTCATATATTATTAAAATCAAATATAATATGCAAGAATTAATGGCAATAAACGATGTAGTATATTTTTAAAATCAAGATGAGTGAATTTCTGTCTACTCTAAAAATTCTATCCTTATTTAGCAAGTCATTGAGAAACTCAGATACTAAAAGTTTAATGTTAGAAGAAATCAACACTCGATACAGTACAAATTCATATGTGGATTTATAATCTGGTAATGCTTTCCATGTTAAACTGGATAGTTCATTGGATAGTTTTCTATCCAATTTGTTTTTGTTTTAACGTTGTTGCATACTCCCACTCTAAACTTAATTTGCCATTGAATTATACACAATTTCCAGTGGGAAACACAGATTATTCTAGAATTGTAATCAGTTTGACATACTTTGTGAGAATCTGTGGTTTGGTAATTAATGTGAAAATAGTTGGGAAAGAGAATTCACTCTTCAGAATTTGTTTTATTTTATTTGGTTATAAATTATTTTCTAGAATTATTGGGCTTTGTAATATTCTTATCAAATAGAAAATGATGTGACTTGATTATTACATTTGAAACAATTTTTAGAGAATGAATTATATGCTATATTATTTATACAGGTAGTCCTTGACTTACAATAGTTCATTTAGTGACTAATCAAAGTTACAATGGCAGTGAAAAAAGTGACTTATGACTAATTTTCACAGTTACAGCTAATTTTGCAGCATCCCTATGGTCATGTGACAAAAATCCAGATGTTTGGCAACTGGTTCATATTTATGACATTTGCTATGGATTATGTGATCATCTTTTGCGATCCTCTGACAAGTAAAGTCAATGGAGAAGCCAGTTTCACTTAATAACAAGGATACTAATTTAACAACAGTGATTTACTTAACAACTGTGGCTTGAAAGGTCGTAAAATGGAGCAAAATTCACTTAAAAAATGTTTCACTTAGCAATAGAAATTTTGGACTTCATTGACGTAAATTGCACTACCTGTAGTGCAGTGTCAAACACTTAAATGTTTTAATTAGTGAAAGAGAGAACAAGCACTCCAAAATTGGTTTTGGCATTATTGGTCTAATAACACTATTGACAATGATCTGTATTACATGCTAATTTGTCATGGTTCTTTTGTGAATTAATATTAATATTACAATGTTTTTCATTTTACTTAAAGCGTGGACCTCAGATGCCTTTGATATTTCTTTATGTTGTTGACACTTGCATGGAAGATGAAGATTTGCAAGCTTTGAAAGAATCCATGCAAATGTCATTAAGTCTCCTACCTCCTACTGCTTTGGTAGGGCTTATTACTTTTGGGAGAATGGTGCAAGTTCACGAGCTTGGCTGTGAAGGCATTTCCAAAAGTTATGTGTTCAGAGGGACAAAGGATCTATCTGCAAAACAACTTCAGGTAGCTATCTGATATTTAATTTGATCACTTATTCTGTGATTGTTGTGTCTTGGAAAATAGAAGAAGAAATTGTCTGCTGTATTGAACAAAGTATTGCAGTTCAGAAGATAAAAGTGTATTTTCTGATTTTCACCTACTTTTTTTTAAAAAAATGTTTAAATGGTGTTCTTAAATGTCAGGGGAAATGTTATAAAGTTTGAATTACCTGCCCAGTACTGTCAGTGTATCATGCTCAACTTTAAAGTTGCCACTAGTACTCATAATTTTCCACTTTAAGATTATTAAAAATAGTGGAAAGATATAATACAGATTTATTAAAAATTTGTAATGACTTCAATAACTTTATACACACATACATGGAGTCTAATACTGAAGTAGGAGGGTGTATTAGCTGGACCCACAGTCTCCATCTAGTCCGGCTTTAGAATCCTTTTCCTTTTTCTTCTTGAGACTTGAAAGCTCAGTAATGAGTGAATTGTATAAGCAGATGGGAAAAGAAGCCTTGGACAGGTATGTTAGAAACTCATGCTCAAACTTGATTCTTAATTATAAGGGGACATAATAGGATTCAGAAAAGGAAGCCAGATAACTGCTTGAAAATGAAAACAAAAAGCTAATCTTACTAATCTATATTAAACTTCAAGGTAGCAACATAGAGGTATTAGCATAGCAATGAACTGCTTAGGCAGAGAGCTAAGTATCCTTAAACAAGGCTAGACTATAGATTACTGGGGAGTTAGAAAAATGCACTTTTCTTTTTTAATTCAAGATATTCCAAATTGGGTTATGGATGGCAGCTCTCTTAGTCAATAATGCTTGTAGGTTTGTTTTAAATAAGCACTGTTGATATAATGAACAGAAGGAATAACCTCAAGGAGTAAGAAGAATTACAACCAAGGCAATGGTCAGATAAAAGAAATCTGAATCTGGGGCAGAAATGTAATTTTAGAAAGCATCTCCGATATTATCCTCTCTAATTCACATGAAGAAAAAAAGGACAGAGGAGGAAAGCACATTCAGATTTGCAAGATTCTGTTACTATAACCCTGTACTAAAACCCTACTACTATATTGTCTTGCATGTCTTTGATCCCCAAGTTTGGTCTGTCTTGGAGATCTTCATGAGAATTAGGAAAGATCATGTCTCAAATTATATTTTTGTGTCAGATTTTTTAAATCTGACCCATGTCTTGATTACGGCTCTTCCTCTCCTCAAGGTTATTCTTTCTGCCAATTTCATATGGGTAGTTATTTTGAGTGATTTGCCAAATATATAGCTGTTCTGTTATACACTGTTCACAGGAAATGCTAGGACTTACAAAAATCAATGTATCACAAGTGGGTCGTGGTCCTCAGGTACAACAGCCACCACCATCTAACAGGTATCAATTTTTATTTTTTAAAAAATGTACTCTAAATTGCTTTACACTAAGTTCTGCTTTGTTATGTATTACTCTATTTTATCAGTGCTGAACCCTTATGAACCAGCATTAATCCTCTTTTTATTTATTTATTTATTTTGGCTAAGAACCAAAAGGATTAGTGTAGGCTACTAACAAAACAATATATTATTTGATCTGGTATGTGTTGATCTCTTGAATAACTTGGGTTATATCCATTGGTGGTATGGTGACTATGAACTCCTGAGCTGACCCTGTTTCCATGCCACCTGAGAGCAGATTGTAGTCTCCAAGAACTATAAACCTTGGAGACTTTACTGCCAGTCTGCTGAAAGAATTTAGCAACTCAGATAGGAATTTTGTTGTGGTGCAGGGAGTCTGGTATAACAGCAACAAGCCAATTACTCCCTAGAACCCAGCTTCAACCAGAGTCTGTCACATCTGTTCATCTGTGGAACAGGATAACTGAAAGTCTTCAGTCTCATGGATAACCAACTGTCACTCCAACCCATGTCACCCCACCTGGGCTTGTGGCTGATGCCAAACTTGACACGTAGGTGGTAATATCATCGAGAGAGAAATTCCTCCCTCCCAAACCATCCAGGTCTTGGTTATACATGTTAGATCAGCTGCTTCATCTTATGGTGGATGTGCATGATCTTACTGCATACCAACTTGGTAACAGCAAGTCAGCAGAGTAACAGCAGACAGAGCCCAAGACCTCAACAATCCCATGATGTGGACTCATACTTTGAAGGCAAGATAAATCTTAGTCACTGACTTCACCATTCTTGCAAGCAGCCCATCCTTAGCTTCTCTCCATATCTTCCTCTTTTAAAGTGTGTGTGTGTGTATGTATATATACATATAGTATCTTCTTCCAAATGATCAGCATATTAAATAAATACAGATTGAGAATTTCATCCTGTCATGAATTATGATCTTTTTCAGTTGTGCAGTAGATTACAATTTTACAAGCTTGATAACTGCAGAATGAATGTAAATCATATTTGAGAAATTGAGATTGTAGAACAGTATAGTGCATATTTTCCAAAATGAAATCCAAAATATTCTCATTGGCATTATTCTTTTCTTTTCCTTTGACCCTCTTACTCATTGTCAAAACATTCTTTAGAACAGATTTTGGGTGGGAGACAGGTGTAGGTAAATGGGAAGAAATCATAGAATGGATTTCTCCTTTTGTGAGGCTGAATTTTACCTCTCAGTTGAAAAAAAGAAAATTTTAAATAGTTTCCCTAAGAACAAAACTGTTTTTATTCTTTCTAGATTCTTACAACCAGTACAGAAAATCGACATGAATCTCACGGATCTCTTGGGTGAACTGCAACGAGATCCTTGGCCTGTTCCCCAGGGGAAAAGACCTTTGCGATCTTCAGGAGTGGCTCTTTCGATAGCTGTAGGACTGCTAGAGGTAACAAGTTATCTCTGATATAGGAAAATAATTAAGTTAATGTGAGTTTGATTTAAATTAGAAAGATAACTCTTTTTAAAGATAGTAAATAATTTTATGAAACATTTTCTTATCACAAGTATCAAATATACTAAAATTTGAGCAATAATTATTTTTCAACTTTACATATCTAATTTGGACAGTGAGATGGACAGCAAATTTAATAAATAAATAAATAATTGATACTGCAATTCCTTTTAGAGCATGAATAAACAGTTCTAAATATCAATGGAATATTTTGGGCTTCAGGAAGCTCATTTGTTTCTTGACTTGTATTTATTATCCTGCAGTGTACTTTCCCTAATACTGGTGCTCGTATAATGATGTTTATTGGTGGACCGGCTACCCAGGGGCCTGGGATGGTTGTGGGAGATGAACTTAAGCTCCCTATAAGATCTTGGCATGACATTGAAAAAGATAATGCCAAATATGTTAAAAAAGGTACTAAGGTAAGAGATTCAATAAATGCTACTTTTCATTTATGTTAGCTAAGAAGTGTGTTTGATACATTCCAAAATGATCTCGTCCTTAGATTATATATATTTTCCAGAATTAAAAAAGTCTTTAATATGTTTACAATCTTTCTAACAATATTCTGAGAAACATTCTGACAGTTATAAGCTTCAGATGGTATATTAGAAAAATTAAATTAATATTGATGGACAGTATATCAATTTATAATAAAAATATATTCCATGAGTTGTTTGTATAGCATGCTTAATAGATATAATTTTGAATCTTTTGTTGACATTTTTGTTTATCTTATGTAATCATGGAAAGAAATACAGCAAGTCAGTACTATCAAAATATACTGAGAAGGATTAAAAGGATGTAAAGTATTTAATATTTTTCTTTTTGTGAAAGAGCTGAATACCCTGTGTTAATGAATGGCTATAGAAACTCAAGTAATTTGGAAAAATTATATTTTTTTGTATAGCATTTTGAAGCTCTTGCAAATCGTGCTGCTACAACAGGTCATGTTATTGACATCTATGCCTGTGCATTAGATCAGACTGGTCTTTTGGAGATGAAATGTTGTCCTAATTACACGGGGTATGTAATATATGAAAGTATATAATTTACCAAAGAAATATTATTTCAATAAACGGTTAAAAACATTCACTGTATGTGCCAACTGGATTTGCATATATGAACATATGTAGTTAGTATGCAAGCAAAAGCTTTTGATGATGAATAGACTTCATAAATATGATTTTATTTTCTCAAAAGTTAAGTTCTATCATTTAATTCTGGAGCCCTATTAGCAGTGGTGAAATATAAAATTTGTTACTTCCGGTTCTGTGGGCGTGGCTTGGTGGGGGGGTTAATGTGACTGGGTGGGCGTGGCCAACTTTTTAAAAAAAAACTTTTAAAACCATTTTTTTCTACAACCTCTTCGGCTGAAGAAGTTGTAAAAGAAATGCTTTTAAAAGCCTCTGATGATCCCAGCTGAACCGTGCGATCATCAGAGGCTTTTTTTTTTTTTACTTTTAAAAGCATTTTTTCGGCCGAAGGGGTTGTAGAAAAAATGCTTTTAAATTTTTTTTAAAAAAGCCCCTGATGATTGCGCGGCTCAGCTGGGCATGGGAGGGTGGGCAGGGATTTTTGCTACCGGTTCTCCGAACCACCCGCTGACATAGCTACCGGATCGAGTGATCCGGTCTGAACCGGGAGCATTTCACCCCTGCCTATTAGGTTAAAATGTGCTCAAATTGCTAAATAGGATTTATGGGTATTGCTTGACTCATTTGGGACCGTCCACTCATCTCTTCCCCTAAATCTATGTATCAGGTAGACATTGAATTTTGATCACATGACCACAGAGTTGCTGCAACAACAGTAACTTCAGGCATGATTTGTAAATCCATTTGTTCAGCTTCTTTGTAGCTTTGAATGGTCACTGAATGAATGGTTGTAAATTCAGTGGTATCTGCAGCTGCTCTTCAAATGAATTTTATTCACCTGCTTGGTGAATTTTATTTCTTCACTAGACAACCCATGATCCCTTGGGCCATTGTTTCAGATATGTTTCCTTATTAGATTCCTCAATGCCTTTAACAACAGTAGAACTTCTAATATTTCTTAAAAATTCAGGGAAGTACAGTATTCAGAGATGTATTTGTCTTGAAAGACCCATGTTGAACTGTATAGCAACATCAGGAGTTCACCACAGGAAACGTTTTTATGACATTTTCTATTATATCATAATGCTTTATGATAATTTTATATAATGAACAGTTTTATGAAATTTTTCAAATTTCAATTTCATGGAAGTCATGGGTCATGGATTTTGAATGCATTTTGTAATTTAGCTATTCTGTAGTTTGAGACACCGTGCTCAAAATTAATTACTCTATGATGCACCCTTTCACCCAATTAAAAGTTATGGGAATCAGAGTTTTTATAGCATATAGATTATGCTCTTGAATAAATTGTATATTAAAAACTCAGTATATATAAAGTAAAATGACAGATGCCAGTTGTAGTTGGAGACCAGGTTCTGAAAGCAATAAATGATAATGTAACTGTTCTTTAGGACTGTCCATATCTGTGTCTTTTTTTTTTTTTTTTGTCTTCATGTAGAGGTTACATGGTAATGGGAGACTCTTTCAATACATCTTTGTTCAAACAAACATTTCAGCGGGTGTTTACAAAAGATGGACAAGGACAATTCAAGATGGGATTTGGAGGTACCTTAGAAATCAAGGTAAGAAATGACATTTACTATTAAAAAATATGGTTCTGGTGTTCTTATCCCATAAAATCTTACTGTGCACTCAGAGCTAAACAGACTTTTGTGGAAAGAGAGTATTGCTAGCAGTAACATTCATCTTAAATTTTTAAACCTTGGATTAAAGTACTTTATTTCACTGTGAAAATAAACTCTTTAAATTGAACAGCTTTTCACAATGAAATAAAACATTGACTGATGTTCTTGGGTTAAAGATGCAAAGTAAACGTTTAACTCTGCAGCTGTGATTCTGCACTCATTGTTTGGCTAAACTATATTAATTTCATTTCTTACAAACCCACAAAATAAATTGCTGAATGCATTTTATGTTCCTGTGCAGTTAAAGCAAACTCCCTAGTGCATGGGAGTATAATCATAAGTAGGGTATTTAGATTCCATTCACATGATGTACTGAATATTTAATAGAAACCTTTGTCGATGTGAGCATTTTTCCCTGTCTGCCATTTCAACAGTTGAGCAGCAGCATATGAAAACAAGGTAATATATATGGTTTATCCATACTTTGCTCAAGTAATGAAATGCTGCTCAAGAAATAAAATAATATTGAAAAGAGGCAATAGCTTTAATAGTAAATGCAGATTTTTCATGCTGAGGGCTCAGTCTAAGTTCTGGATTCTCAGTTTAAAAGCATCTCATCCTGGTGAGCCAGTACTTGTGAGAATTCTATAATCATGGCCTCTATACATCCGTAGTATGATTTGATATAATGCTGAATTGGGAAATTATAATGATTCAAAGGACAATAGAAATATTCTAATTCAGATTCCTGATCCTAGAGATCACCCAACACCTGTAACCTAGTACTCTTCTAAAGGAAAATAAATATTTTAAATTTAAAGAAAGCTGACTAATTTGGTTTAATAATATGAGAAAGCAGTGAATAAACACTAGAAAAACTTTTAATGCAAAATATATAGTTTTGAGGAAGAAACATAACCATTTGTTTAGCAAAATCATAGATATTATTTTTTAAAGATTGACTGGTTCTGCACAACTACTTAGTTTCACTTTTACAGGCTACAGTAAAATTACTGGAGTGAATTTTAACCCACCTTTTGTATATTATTCTCTTTTACTTTGAAATCTGTGCAGACTTCAAGAGAAATAAAGGTATCTGGAGCAATTGGACCCTGTATATCTCTCAATTCTAAGAGCCCTTGTGTATCAGAAAATGTAAGTTATATAAAATCAAAAAACAGATACTGTCAATCTATATCATTGCTCTTTTTAACATATGAAATACAATAGAAATTTTATTCTTTGTAAAATAACCTAAATAATTATTTTGTTACTTAGTTACATGTTTGATTATATGCCATCAAGTCAGTGTCAACTCTTAGTGATCACATAGATTTTCTCCTGAAGGATCTGGCCCTTCATCTCTTCCAGTGATGCACTCATTGCCACAATAATTGAGTCCCTCCATCTTGCTGCTGATCCTTTTTTCTTTACACTTTCCCCAACATTAAAGATTTCTCCAGAAAAATATCTTGGTATTCACATAATGTGTCTGAAGTAGGATAATTTGAACTGGCATTTGTATCTCAAGCAAAAATGCTGGGTTTATTTGTTTGATGATTCATTTTTTTCATTTTCTTGGCTATTCATGATATTCTAAAGAAGTCATCTCCAACACCAAAGTTTCAAAATATCAATGTTCTTTCTATGCTGCTGCTTTAAAGTCCAGCTTTCGCTTCTATAGTGTCACATAATATGGCATCTGAATATCTTTTTTTCATTGCTACTTTACTAAGTTCTGGTCTGTGACATATTTCTTGATTGCTGATTACTTTACTGTTGCTAGTTGATCTTAAAAGGTAGAAATTATTTGGCATTTCAGTAGCTACACTGTCAATTCTAAGGCTGGTTGCTGTACCTTTTGCTATTAATTTGGTCTTCAATTTTACTTTCATTTTTTCACTGTGCTTTCATTACTAGTGCTTGCAGATCATTTGCATTTTCAGCTATCAGAGTAGTGTCATTAGAATAGAACAGGCTATTGATTTTCCTCCTTTAATTTTAAAAACACATATATCTTCTTCCAAACAAGCTTCCCCCAATATGCATTCCACATGTAGGAAGAATATGACAGTTTAGGGAAGTAGTTAAGGTGCTTGTCTAGAAACCAGGAAACACTGTTTTTAGGCCTCCCTTAGTCCTGAAAACCAGGTAGGTGTCTTTTAGACCAATCATTCTCTCAGCCCAATTCACCTCACAGGGTTGCTGTTGCGGGAAAATAGGAGGCAGGAGTATTAGATATGATCATTGTCATATACATTATATTTTAACATTGCAGGATAAAGATATAACAATAACAACAATAAAGTGTACAGTCTTGTTTCACTCTTTTGCCATCTGTTCTGTGGCTTCCTAACCTGTGGATAGGATTTTTGCATGAGGACAATTAGATTTCTGGAAAAGCCTCTTAATTCTCTGTATAAAATACTACTGATTTTCCTTTTGATTTCCTTTTTCTTGTGAGAGATTCTGTATCCTCAAAATCTGCTCAGAAATGGTGTAAAAGTCCAATCTTCTAGAGCAAATTCTGAGCTACCCAGGGAACTATGGGTAAGAAGAAAGCAAATGGTCTGCCCATGAGACTTTGGATTCCATCTATTATTATTTCCATCTACTATCATCTATATATCTTTAAAACAAAATTTTGACTACAGTAGTCTTCAATTTTAGGCCAAAATGACTCTTAATTTCAAGAATAGATATCTTTTTAATTGCATTCTGCTTTCTCTTACTTAACATTCAGAATCAGTGGGAGTCGGGTGGTGTATACACCATCATCATTCACTAGATTTTTTTTCTTATAAAAAAAAGTGGCATCCAAAGGTCTGATTCAGATTTTCTCTTTTCTTCTGCTGGCCTCCCTGTGTCCTCCAAATCCACCGTAGAGGATTTTAGAATCCTCTGGAGCAGATTTGGTGGACAAACGGGGGAAACATTGGTGAAACATTGGATTTATTCTTTGATTAAGGATTCATGTACACTGCATCATGAAATATAATTGCAGGAACTAGTCCAGGCAGTTGCCAGGATTCAAAACTGACTCCAAAGTGCAGACACAGACTTTACAACATCATACAATTACATTAGCAACATTCTTTTGAAGCTTTTAGAGGTAAGGTAGATAAGAAAGTTTGAGCTCATTTATTTTACCCCTTGTGCTGTCTTTCTGGTTTCTGCCACTGAAATAGCTGTTGTATAACTGTTCAAGCATTTGTAACTTCATTATTCGAGAATTTCCTGTTTTGTTTATTTTTTTGGATCTGCGCAAGGAACCCCTTGCTAAGTATCAGTATAGATACTCTGTTGTTTTCTTTTTGGCCATAAGGTGGCATTTTGTTGCTTCCATTGTTAGATACTCCATCATGCATCTGAAGTAGGCTTTAGTCTCTCAAAATGTTTTTTTTTATAAAATGAGTTAAGCCTTTGAAAATATTCATTCTTTTTGGAGAGGGCATTATTAGAGTTCTAGAAATAATGATTATGTGGACTTCACTTCAAAGGAAACATGCCACTGGGTATTGAATCTGTAGGGAGGAAACGCCCAAAAAAATTAGTCTGTATTTGCTTTTTACTTTCTTCCTTCTAAATTATTAGTAGTTGTTGCTGATTTGTGTTATCTCAGGTATCATGAAAAAAAGTCTCATAAGGTTTCTGCATCTATATAAACCAAAAAGAGGTGTTCTAATGTAATATATTTAAAGCCAGAAAGTTTTACTAATATGTAGCAGACTGTATTATTACTACAAATTCATTTGCAATCTCCTTATAGGAAATAGGAACAGGAGGTACTTGTCAATGGAAGATTTGTGGACTTAATCCTACTACAACTTTAGCTTTGTATTTTGAGGTGGTGAATCAGGTAAGATAAAAATAGCTGAACATCCTTTATTGAGAATAACAGGGTTGTAAAAAGGGAGTTACTGTAATTTTACAATTAAGTGTTCCTGCAACGATACTGTATTTTTATGAAAATAGACTAATGGCTTGCCTTAGTTGGCTTTGGGGAATAGTATTTAAATATGGATATTAATAGAAATGAAATCTAGCAAAATTTTAGAGAAGAAGGCATGTAGTAATCTAAAAGCTGAGTTTTCTATAGCACATCTTTCAGTGTTTCGTTTTAAAAATTCCTACTTTATTGATAAATTCTTTGTCAAAGAAGAATCAACACATCAATAGAAAACTGAGTAATTTTGCTGTCTGGTTTATGACTAACTAAATTTAGTTCCCTAATATTTGCATATTCAAATAAGGCTGGTCAAACTGGCAATTACTATATAACTGTTTCCAGAGGAGAGCAGCAATTACTTTTCTGTTCTCTGCCTTCATCCTTCTCGGCTGCTTCCATCAATTACAGTAAGATACGTTTTAGAAATAATAGATTAAAGTTATTTTAATCAGAGCAGAATCACAAAATAAAATTAGAGTGTGGGAAAAACAGATGAAATTGTTTTGTTTGACCATCAAAGATAAAGAAAAGCAAATTCTATGTTCTTCATTTGAATTGTGTCAATTTGATGAGACATAAGCATTGTAAACAGTCCTCTTTGATAAAGAATAGGAAACAGGAAGGTCCTGCTTTATCTTATCTGTGCCATAAACTCAATAGATGTGTGCAGACAAATTAACATCAATAGTCATGAGGAAAATAATGTTATTTATCTTAATCTGTTACATTACAATGCTACATATAGCACTTGGAAATTTTTCTGTGTTAAGAATTGTTAACATGTCCAATTTAATATAGAACAAGATTTATTATCAATATTGATTAAGAACCATTTTTGTTTTGAGAAATCTATGTGTATTTCAAAGGTCCAGTTTTAGATATAGTTAGATATAGCCAGGGGTGAAATCTAAATTCTTTTGCTACCGGTTCTGTGGGTGTGGCTTGGTGGTCATGTGACTGGGTGGGCGTGGCCAGTTTGACGTCACTCACTGTTAGAGCCAGGAGCTCCAGATTCTGACACAGAACAGCAGCACTTTCTGTCACAAGCCAGGAGCTGCTCAAAAGCACATTCTGCCTTTCTGAAGCCCTCAACGCTTTGAGTTTCCCTCTGGCTTGACTGCCCAGGCGAACCTCGGAGCCTTCTCTTGCTGTGCTCTTCATCCCAGAGGGCTGTGCATTCCCCTCCCCACCGCCAATCCTCCGTACAAACTGCCCACCCTGTTTCTGCAAAGGCAGAGCCTCCCCCTTGCAGGGCAATCCAAAGAGGGGAGGAGGCTGCTGCTGAAAAAGCCGCCTTCCACCTGGGCCTCCTCCTGCAGCCAAACGTGCCCAGCTGTCTCTGCCTTTTTCTCAAACTGGCTGTGCATGGGGCGCTTGGAGAGACAGCGAGCAAGAGAGCTCTCCAACCTCTGTTTTTGTGTGTGTGTGTGTGTGTGTGTGTGTTTGTGTGTGAGGGAGGGAGGGAGGGAGGGAGGGAGGGAGCGATCTGAAGCCGAAGCACCCAAACCTCTGGTAGCTTCTGAGCAGCCTTGAGTCAGCCAGATCCACCTGACCTACTCCCTGAGTCTCGCTGGCTGACTCAGGGCTGCTCAGAACCTCCCCCCCCGGGTGCCAGAAGTTTGGGTGCCTTGGCTTCAGATCGCTCCCTCCCTCCCTCACACACACACACACGCACGCACACACACACACACACACACGTTGGAGAGCTCTCTTGCTCTTTCTCTCTCCAAGAGCCCCATGCACAGCCCATTTGAGGAAAGGGCACGCACGGCTGGGCGCCTTTGGCTGCAGAAGGAGGCACAGCGCAGTGGGGTTGTTTTGTTCGCTGCGGTGGTACTTTGGGAGGGCAGGCGGACATCTGCAGCTGACAACTATAATGAATATGTCCATCTGCCCTCCCGAAGCACCACCGTGGCGAACAAAACCATCCCATTGCTATGGATGCATAGCTTGTCAGGGCTGAGCTGGGAAGCTGCTGCTTGAGTTGTGGTGGTGGTGGGGGCGAGTAAGGTGCTAGCTCCTTCTCCGCAGCCCTGCCATGCTTGCCTGCCTTCCACGTGGGCTTCTGCTTGCTTGCTTTCGCATGCTGGCCACCGGGACACCAGGAAGGCAGCATGGAAGGCAGGCAAGCATGGCAGGACTGCGGGCCATAGACCGGTTCAGGGACATGGCCAGCCAGCCATTGCTCCCGGTTCGGCGAACTAGCCTCAATCTCTGCTACCTACTCGCCTGAGCCGGTCTGAACCGGGAGCATTTCACCCCTGGATATAGCTAAAGTTGAGGAACAAATTTACAGATCTGGTAATTTAGCTTGCTTTTGGCAGGTAATTTTTAGAATAGATTGGGTAATATAATTACCTCCTTAAATTCCTTTCTCAATGTCTTTGTGACTCTATCTACCTTTTCTCTTGTCAAAACAGCACAATGCTCCAATTCCTCAAGGTGGACGGGGTGCAATTCAGTTTGTGACTCAATATCAGCATTCAAGTGGACAAAAACGGATTAGAGTAACCACTATTGCCAGAAAGTAAGCATTAATTTTTGGTGTAGCATTCCAGACATCTGAATGATTTGTAAATTAGTTAATAGTATTCAATAGGGAAGTGATGCTTTGATAGACAAGTTGAAACTTTGCATCTTAGGCTGCAATTTTAAACCAGATTTATATGCTTGAGAAGTTAGTTTTTTATATAGAACAGAGTTGTTGGGAGTGGGGGGAGAAAGAGAGAGCAACGATATTGTAAAACAATTGTTTAGAATTCATTTTGAATCAGAGACATGTACACAATTCTGTTGAAGTACAAATTGGTTGGCAAAAGACAAATTTACAATATTGGGGCATACACAGTGTGATAGTATTTCATGAATATAATTTCTTTGTAGAGAGTTCTTGTTATGGGTTTTATCAAAGTGTCCCTCGTTCCTCTTAAGTCTACCTCTTGGAATCTTTTTCCAGTTTATCGACATTCTTTGCCTTTCCAAATGTCTGTGGTTTTGCTGACAAGTTTATTTTTCTCTGGAAAAGTGTATTTGGAGAGGGGTTTAATGTATTTATCTACTCTAATGTCATCTTTTCTCCTTCAATATCCATTTGTGGATTGTTTTTAATTATAAAGGTTGAATCCAAATTTCATAAAACAAATATAATTATTTCTGCTCAAATTGTAAAGCTTGATAACATTTTATTTAAACTGGCAACATTTTGCTTGCAGTGCAGATCTACTATGCATTTGGAATCCTGCAAAACTTCCCATGTGAATTAGGAAGGGTTTTTCCTACATTGGATTTTATTTTGTTTTACGTTGGAGGGTTAATACTGAGAACTAATAATATTGGTCATATAATAAACATATATAATAAATATTGGGTATTATGTAGAAAGTGAAGTTGGATAAAAAAATTAAAAACCCAAATGATTTGATTTGTGCAAAAAATATACTTAAACTAGGATAAAAGTCACAAGTTTTGTGGGGACTGGGAGAATTTTGTTGCTAGTACAGTATGTGGTTATCCATATCTGATACCACTTTCTTCTGGGAAATATTAATTGCTGGTTGTTCTGCAAAGAATGCTTTGCTATAGTGTTGAAAATGAATATGAAGAAAAGTTCAGATTTGTTCAAGTGACAAAATTATAAATTGCTGTTTTTGCTGCTTTTTGGCTAAGTTTGTGATAAAATAATTGCTTTTTTTGTTTTGCAGCTGGGCAGATGCTCAGACACAGATTCAAAACATTGCGGCTTCTTTTGACCAGGAAGCAGCTGCCATTCTTATGGCAAGATTAGCAGTCTATAGAGCTGAAACCGAAGAAGGACCTGATGTGCTTAGATGGTTGGACAGACAGCTTATCAGATTGGTAAGGCATTCAAAATGTTTTAGAAACTGTTTCCTTTCAAGGATGAAGTCTCTTCAGAGATGTTTATCCAGAGGTTACACTTCAGAAGAGGTATTGTTCCATATTTGTTCCTCAACCGTTTGTTTCCATTATTGTAGACATAAAAGAACAATTAAGATCCTATGTTTAAATATAGGCACCATGGCAGTGATCTTGTATGATTAATTATTGCTAACTACTTCAAAAAAATTTCTAGAAATCAGAATTGATAGAGCTTCTTTTCAGCAGAGTAACAATTTGGAAAGCCTATTTGAATATTTATGGATAATAGTTTTTAGCCCACTTTTAGTTGATTGAGCAATTCCTGTAGTAGAGATTTTCAGCGGTAAATCTTAAACTGAATCCAGATCTTCTTTAAGCAGAGGCTGGCTGCAGATAGAGCATTCCTGCTCCTAAATAATTGGGTAGTTTAGGGGGTAGTTTTTATTATTCCTTTCTTACCCATAATATATTTTAGGGCATAGAACCTCTTTAGAACATTCTAGCTCACTGATGGAGAATTAGCAGAAATCACTTCCCTCCTTTTCTCTGATTGTTAAATCAGATTTCTGCCTAGAGCTTTTCTTCGGCTATGAACAGAATGGTTTCTTTGAATCTAGTCTATTGAGATTAGGCTAGTGTACATGGTAATAATGCTAATAATATTTAATGATGTGTAAAGAACAGTACTTTGTTATTGTTAATCCTTTCCTCGTTTATATCTAAGCATGAAATAGTTCTTAAGTAGTAAAATACCTTGTTAAGAACAAGTAGCACATACTAACAATCCAACTTAATATGCTATTTATAAATACATATTAATAGCATGTTGCGTTAACAATGACTTCATATAGCTGTTGTGAGTCCAATGGATTATGATCCTAGTAAAGAAGTAGGTATTTTTAATCTAGTTCATGCCAAACTAAGGCTCTCATTTTTCTTATTTGCCAGCAAGAAAGCTCCCACACATCTCATCTGCATGTTTTCTTCCACTATGAAGCATGTTCTGAATTGGATCTTCTGTTAGCCTCTGTTACTTATTTATAAGGAATATCCTGACTGCCACCTGCGACATTCTTCCCTAAACCTGTGCTTTTTAATTTCTTTTATAACTGAACATGTCCCTTTGCTAGGTCTGATGCAAATCCAGTGATTTAAAAATACTAAAACCATAACTGGGAACAATAAACACCTGAAAAACCTGCTCATTGTGTGATGAAAAATATTAGGAAAATTGACAGTTGGTTTTTAATTTGACATATTGTATAATAAAGTGTTAATGTAAGAAATAAAATATTTATTTGAAGGTGATTGCTACTTGTATAATTATTATATTAACAGAGTTTCTCTCCACATATGTAAGTTGCCATAGTTTTTCTCAGTTGCTGTCCATTTAAGTTAACATTTTATTGTCTGGAAATCATAGTTGTGAACATAATTGAGAGCAAAAAAGTAGCATACAAAATAGAGAAACTATTATTTAGAGATATTCCTGGCTATTAAAGTTGATGTAATATTTCTGGATACCGATTGACTCAAGATTTCACTTTTCTGAAATCTGGTTTGCAGACTTTTAGAGGAAGATATAGTACATATTATTTTACAACATAATATTAAAAATGCCATACTGAACACATTGACTTTGTTTTTAAATCTTACAGTGCCAGAAATTTGGAGAATATCATAAGGATGACCCAAATTCCTTCAGATTTTCAGAAACTTTTTCCCTTTACCCACAGGTGAGTAAGAATAATGCATGATTACAGTCTGACAAAAAAAAAGTTGTCAATGCAGTGTAGTTCATTTTATGACAAATTAGAGGTGAAATACAGTGGAAAATTATTGTTATCTGCATCTTGGAGATGTTGAGGCAAGCAACTCGGTTAATGGAAGTGGAAGTGCCTGTCTCCAGTCCTCTGTAAAAATGTTAGAGATGAGGATTTAGAAAAAAATTGATAGAGACAACCATGAGCAAAGGCTGCCTGAAAAGGTGAAAAACAGTAGGTTACAACTCTGCGACATTTCAGTAAAATTATTTTGTGCATGAGCTCTATTGGACTTTTTTGGGGTGGTGGTGGTAATGGGATCTAAACCTCTGCAGAGAGGTTGCAGTTATAATAGAAGTCAGAGTCTTACCAATCAGACTAGAAAAGCAAAGCTGTTTTTTTTTCTCCTAAAGGATATTACTTGCTACTTTTCAAGATTAAATTGATTGTGTGTTATTTGTGAATACTGCTTGATTTCATCATGAACTAAAAGATTCATTATATTTAAAAGTTTGATTATAAGATCTACATACTGAGACAATATTATATGCATTAATCTATACTGTAGATGTTTCAAGAGAGGAATCCAAAACATTTTTCATCAGATAATGTTAGTGCACTGATCTGAATTTGATGCACAATGAGGTTAAACATTTGCTATAGTAGAGTTATGTTGGACTTGTTTTCTTTTGCAGTTTATGTTCCATTTAAGAAGATCTCCTTTCTTGCAAGTTTTCAATAACAGTCCTGATGAAAGTTCTTATTATCGCCATCACTTCATGCGTCAAGATCTGACTCAGTCACTTATAATGATTCAACCAATTCTTTATGCCTACTCTTTTAATGGACCTCCAGAGGTATAGCACATAGGGGGAAAATCCAAGAGAACAGATTTTGCTTCATCCTATTTTTTTTTAATGCATATGCTATTTTGTTACAAGGGCTCAGATTGAAATATATATTAAGCAGATCAAATAAGCTTAGCATCAAAAACATGAAATAAAACAATTGAATATGTCTTAATTTGTCACAAAATGGTAGACTCAACATTGATTGACAGCAATTTAAAGTGGAATCCTTTTTGTTTGGAATAGGAATTTCTAATTATTGTCTTCCTCTTCCAAAATTTAATTTTGTGCAATGCAAAAGTGGAAAAATTCTTTATTGAAGATTGCTTTTTAATCATGTGCTAAATGCCATCAGCTGGCTATTCAAAACTTGCTCTGGCCTGGAATGCTGTTCCCAAAAGAACATACTGCTCTCTGTTTTCTGAAGGGAAGATCAGGAATTGCCACCAGGTACTATTGGTTGGCAAAAACTTGGTTGGAGTTTCTTTGGAGTGGGATGGCATTTAAATGTAATACAATAAATAAATAAGTTACAGGATGAGAGTTCACTGCTTTTTCCATACACTTTTAAAATCACATATTTTTTTTTTAAAAAAGGTCTTTTATATATATGTTATAAATGAGAGGTATGAAACCTGTATAATTATTTAATGCTAAACAGAATGTAAGTGAGGGTTAATGTTACTGTAAAACACATTGCCTACTGAATCAAGGTATCAGGGGATCCCAAAACATGGAATCATACACTTCGTTGTTGTTATTGTTATTGTTATTGTTATTGAAACATGCTTATAAGATTCATGCTTGAACTATAATTAAACAAAATAAGAATACATTATAAATATTATTTTATTTCCTAACTAATTGACACAAAACTGTCTTTAAACGTTTTTGATAGTTTCGAGTATATTTAATGAAACATGTTTCCTTTTTATATTAGCCTGTTCTTTTAGACAGCAGCAGTATTCTGCCTGATCGCATACTTCTCATGGACACCTTTTTCCAAATTCTTATTTATCACGGAGAGGTAAGAGGAAATGATTTTTGTTTTCTTTAGAAAAGTTTTTGAGTAGCAACTACAACTATATATAAATTTTGCTATTTTTGAAATGGTACTCAGTCTCTGAGGAAATTTACTATTTAATCTGGGGAAAAAAGGAGCTAAGAAATCAGTAATGGGCAGATTCAGAACCAGAAGTAGGCATGAACTCCTTTTTTCTTATCATCATCATTTTTTCTCTTCTTTTCCCTGCTATATCTGTATTCACGTCTGTTATCTTTTTCTTTGCCCAGTGTGGAAGAGACAGGTTGATACATATACTGCACTATATAGTATTTTTACATGTCCTATAAATGGTTACATATGAGATTCTTTTTTCCCATTACTTTTTCTTTTCTTTGCACTTTTATCTTGGTTTTTGTCTGATTCTTTTTTTTTAACTTTTTACTTTTAATATTCATTTTTATTCATTTTTAAATTTAATAAAAATATTAAAAAGGGATTTTAACAACTGATAAAAAAGTGTTATCTAGTATAGTCAATAAAAATCTGCTATTACCCAGTAAGTTATTATTTTTTTAAAGTTTTGGTCAATTTGAATTATCACATGGCATGCGTGGAACTAAGTAGGCAATTTATGATACAAGTATATTTTAGATACATGAATATTAAATATTCATAACCACATTTCTTGAAAATATGAATGTATTGTTTTTTTGTTTTTAAGGATTTAATGAAATGGCATAATTATTGAGTTGCTCTTAAAAAAACGATTGCAGTACTAAAATTATTCATTAGATAGTCTATTGTGGTATTATCCTCCAGGTACTCTTTCAGTGTTTGTATTTGGTCTGTAGTTGTTATTTACTTGTTTTAATCCTATTTAATCCAAATCCCTTTAGAGTTGCCTGGTAACTGGGGCAGCATATGAATAATTGAATAATAATAATGGCAAAAATAATAATATTGATTTACCTTGATCTAACAATCTTACTATTAAAACCGATTTATATTAAATTTTCACTAAACAGTGAATGTTGAATTGCTGTCTCTAGACTATAGCTCAGTGGCGCAAATCAGGCTATCAGGATATGCCAGAATATGAAAACTTTCGTCATTTGCTCCAAGCCCCAACTGATGATGCACAGGAAATACTTCATTCAAGATTTCCAATGCCACGATACATTGATACTGAACATGGAGGTAGTCAAGTAAGTTACTTTGATTTCTACCTGGGGGACTGTCTGTTAAATAAAAAAACAGATTGTTTTGGTAGAATTCTTTGGTAAGCTTTATTTCATATAATTAAAGGGAGCATGATTGAGTATGTATTATCCTGCGTGTTGAGCTTGGGAGAGACAGTCTTTCATATAATCAAAACATACAAACAGTGGCTTTATTCCCAGTTGAGAACCACTTACAGAATATCCTGTAAATACTTTAATTTCTGTCATGCTTTCTCCAGTGCAGTATTGGAATGATGTGAAACCTCTACTGTATTGAATTAGCACATTGTTGCTCAAAGATGTGATATTTGGTTGTTAAAGAAGAACATCAGTATTTGGGGGTGTGCAGTTCTTTTGATATATATTAGTACTTAAGAGTAGTATATTTATATAAATAATAGAGAGAAAACTATTAATACTAGTATGCATTGATCTTGTTCTTCGATTCATAAGGAAATATATAGGTAAGGACACAATGTACCATAAAGACCTACAGATTGTCACAAAGTCTCATACAAATGCAAATGCTATGAGAATTGACTTTGTTATAGGAATAGTGTACATGCTGTGATTGAAACCATTTTAATTGTTATTTAATAAAATTATATTTTTCTTTCTTTCTTTCAAGGCCCGTTTTCTACTTTCTAAAGTAAATCCATCTCAAACACATAATAATATGTATGCTTGGGGACAGGTAAGCTTTAGCATAATTAATCAACCTGCATAGAGTAATTAAAATATTATTTTCTGTGTTAACATTTCTGGGCATCTTCAAATTAAGGACTAAAGGTAGGTACTAAGATGGAGTGGTAAATTAACTACTTATTAAATTAAGAAAATGTACTAGTTTTTTCTAGAATTAGACATACATTTTTGATAGAAAGTTTTCTTTGAGACTTTTTAAGTAAGGCAAATCTTCAAAGTTATTAAAAGTGTAAATTTTTTAAAAACTGCTTTTGTTTCCAACATTTAAGAATTTGATAAAACTATATTGGATATATTTATACTGTGTATATCTACTGAAAAATAGATTAATAGTTTTATTGTATTATAGATAACTATTCTAGTAGATACAGACAGTCAAAAATGACTCACTTTTTTAGAAGACAGATTCGGGAAATGAAAGAACAATGTGCTCATGAACTAAACTGCAAAGCAAATGTGAGGTCTGAATCCAAGATACACAGCGTCTGTTTTTAAATAGTTTTCTATTCTTACACATATTTTTCAAAAGGCAAACTTATTACCCCCATTAAAATAACTGTTGAGACAGTTATTTTAATGGGGAAACTAAATATAAGGTGTAAAGAATAAGACCAGAAATTCCAACAACAGATGTCTGTACCACAGAGCACAAAAAATGTCCATTCATTGATGGCAAACTGGTTAAGTTTAAAGGAATGGAACTCTGAGGCTAGGATGCATTCTTAGAAATAAGGATGTTGCTACAAATCAATGTTTGTTTTGCACTATTCTCACCTCACAATATTTTTAAATCTATAAAAAAAATGACCAGGAGGGGCAGCATTCCTGACAGTGCCACATACATATCTGAAGGAAGAGTAGTTGCACATAGGCAGCCCAACTCATTTGTCACAGCTGCTTTTGCTTCCTTGTAATATATTTATGTGACACAAAGTCTTTATTAGAAAATGTATATAGCTGCCCATCTATCAAAAGGAAAACTGAGTGAACAAAATAACACATTACATTAAAAACCACAGTTTAAAACAATAACCTGGTTAAGGCCCCAGTAAAACTTAACATCCATCCACCCCATGCCAGCTCTGTCAACATCCTAGCTTCACTGCCTGGGGAAAAGCCAGATATGCACTGCTTTTCTGAAGGCCAACAAAGCCAGGACTGTCTGTATCTCCGGGGAGAGGCTGTATCATAAGGCAGGCACCCTGACAGAGAAGGCTGCTAACATTTTCCATTCTGTAATAGGAATCTGGAGCACCAATTCTTACGGATGATGTCAGTCTGCAGGTCTTCATGGATCATTTGAAGAAACTAGCTGTATCAAGTGCTGCTTGAAAAAATGTGGAATTTTACACATGCTGACAAGTTGAAACATTTTCACTTTATTATTCTTTGTATGTAATTGTAAAACGGAATGCCCAAGCTGCCTAACTACATCTTATAAAAATGTAATTTTTAAGAGAGTGTTTATTATCAAAGGCCTAAGAACAAACATAATTTTGAAAAGTAAATGAAATAGGAATATTGAGAGAAATCTTTTAGATTGCCTTAGTCCAGAGGTCTTCAAACTTGACAGTTTTAAGACTTGCCCCCAAGTCTTAAAGCTGCCAAGTTTGAAGACCGCTGCCTTAGTCCATTAATAACTAGCTTTTAAAAAAATATTCTAATGGTGGAAAGTACCATTCTGGTTTGCACTGCAAAAATATGGCATAATCATGCTTATACCTTTTCACTAGCAGAAGAAATTGATAAGATACTACAAATCCAACTTGGTGATATCTGAAAATATTTATTTTCTCTGTTTAGCTATACATGGATGTTTTAATAGTTTTGTTTTTCATTGTTTGGTAGATAAATTGTTTCTATATGAAGAAACCAAGCAAACAGAGATTGAAAAAGAATTGTTATCCAGTTGTTATCCAAAGCTTATATTTTGATAGACTTCTAGTGTCAATCTTGCTACAATTATTCAAACGCTATAAAATTGACTGAGTTCAAGAAAGGCAAATTAATATCCTATGCCTGTCGCAAATGTCTTTGCAGGAGAATACAAAAATTGTACTATAAATAAAAACTATTGTCTGTTTCCCAAATATACTTTTTTTCTTATAATTATATAACAGTATAAAATTGTGTGTTCTTGTGCTATGTTCTCTTTCTGTTTTGCTATTAAATTATATAGGTAGCAATTCTTTTCCAAACAGTATTGTACACTACACGCCATAATGATTACAAATCTGATAATATTTAGCTTTGTTTTTTGAGAAAATCTATATTTACACACATGTACATATCTTTAATAAAGTTTCTTTTGTTTGAATACAGATTGGCTTGTTGAAGCTATTTCTATACTCAATATTTGATAAAGGTACAAAGGTATTCTTAAATATAGATATCAAGACATATCCTGTGGCCTTGCATTATATATATTACAATGTGTGAGCTCCTTGGCCCCAAAACGAATAGAAATTGAGCCAAAGGAGGAGTTTGACAATTCATTTCAAGAAACAATATCCTTTGCAACCTTGACTTAAGCACCCTTCATTTTGACTCTAGGAGAAAGAGAGGGGGGATTTGTAGCTTGACTGGGAAAGAATAACTTTGCTTGATGGTTCCTCATTTTAGCTGGTCCTTATTAGAACTGTTATTTGAGATGAGTACCTATGAGGGTTGCCCCCCCCCCTCCAATGTAAAGGTGCAGGTCCAAGCTATGCTTTTTACTCTGTTGAAAAGCAGGTTAAAATATTTCAAATAGATGAAGCAGACTGTGCTTCATTTTTATAAGTTGAAGTTAGTAAATGAATATCAACACCCAAATTAATGTATTGTCAGGTCTTTAGTAGGGTAGAAAGAGTCTTAGTAAATCAGCCAAAACATATGTCTGTCTGAGCATTCTTTTTTCCTAAAGTGCCATCTATGTGAAGCCCTTAAGAACTTGAGCATGAATGCATGGATTTTAATAACAACTTCTGTGATTCCATATCACAAAAAGGAGACACATTTTTACTGATTTATCTACCACAATTTCTTGATCATTTTATGCCAGTCTAAATGTGATACTACTTTTTTAAAATTTAGTTTTCACATAGTTTAAACTAAGATTTGTTTTATAGGTAGTTTGCTTGAACAAATTCCATCTATATAATGGAAACAGTCTACACTTTTGCAGTTGGGTTATAAACATTGGCACATTTTAACTATGGCTTGAATCCAGAATGCTCTCCTATTTTTGGTTTTCTATCCCCGACACACTTCTTGCTAATTGACAAACATGTATAGTAAATAGTTCATATACAAAACACAGTCAAAAATCAATTAGATGAACAGAAAATACTTTGAACATGCATGCAAATTTGTTTCATAGGTTAGGATCTTTGAGATGTCATTAGTGGTAACAGCAATTGATAGCAAGCTTGCTAAACCACAGTCATTTTGCTGATATAGAAGGGTAATTCAGGTTTGTTGAATAACGCATATTTAAAATAATTTTTGGTGCCAAGTTAGTTGCATATATAGCCAATGTATTATTTTAATTTTGTTTCCCTTTTAATGTATCTGATATTTTAGTGCTTGCTTCTCATGTTGCACTCTTCTCTATTACTTTACTATCCTTTTCAATTTTAGCCACTCTGAATAATTTGGAGCCATTTCCTAACTAGCAAGGCTTCTGTTAATTGATAGGGTGAATCTTCACAGCTGGACTGGGAGTGTTGATAAATGAGGCTGTGTTGTGCTGATCTTGGGTGGTAGCAAGTTGAATTCCTGTGTAAGACCTGCAGCTGCCCCAATGCTGTGTAGAGTCCCTTGGAGCCCATTATTCTCTCCCATTCCCATCTCGGAAAGATTTGGCAGTCTGGGTCAGGTATTATCCATAAGCAAATGATGTGCAGCTGTATATCCCAATCCATGATTGATCAAACAGTGTTCTGTCCTGGTGTCTGGAGGTTTGTAGAGTTTGGATGGGGAGTAACAGACTTGGACTCAGACTGAGCGTCTGGATTTAATAAGCTGTTTCCAGGGATCTTCCAAAATTAATTACTGATGGGATTCTACTATCGGGCAGAATTTGTATATAATTTTGGTGTTCTGGACTTTCTGCTCTTGCTTAGTAAGCAAATGGCAACTGTGCCAGGGTGCCCTTGCTCAGTGATGTTTGATGCTCCAATTATGGCTTCTGGATTGGGTAGTCTGTTTATGCCTTAATCACCTTTTGTATGGACTAATGCATTCTTGATGATCATCTGGGAGCTACAGCTGGTCTAAAATGAAACTACAATGAATAATGGGAATGTGTCATTTTGCTACATCTCTAATTTACAAGCTGCATTGGTTACTAATTGGCTTTCAGATGTGATTCAAGATGTTGATTGTCATTTATAAAGCCCTTTATAGCTTGGGCCTTACTTACCTAGGAGAATACCTTTTTCTATTTGTTTCTGCTCATTTGGTAAGATCCCACAGGGTCAGCATGCTCCAGTACCAAAAATGATAATTGCTCAGCCTTTTTTGAAAGGGTAGATACGGTGATTAACTCCTTGGGTGTTCCCTGATTTTTCTTTCTACTGCTTAGGTTTGTAGCCCTCCAACTTCCACTTATAAAGTCATTTGTTCTACCACTTATCTCTGTAGACTAGGCTCACTAATAATACACCTGGTCTTGAAGATTCACGCCATCTTACTGAGCTCCTAGTGCCAGTGAGATTGGCAAACATTGCTCTAGAAAGCTTAGATAAGGCTCTTGCAGCTTTCCTATAGGTATGCCCAAAGGTATATAACAAATTGCAGCAATCCTGCTTCATGCAAGGCCATCAGGGGTGTCAAACTTACAGCATCACGATGGTATCATGTGATGTATTGGGACTTCCCCCCCCTTCGTTAAACCGGGTGTGGGCGTGGCCAGTGCGTGATGCATCCGGCCCGCAGGCTGGGAGTTTGACAGCCCTGGTTTAGCAGATCCTGCTCATGTGACTTTCATTTACATAGAGACAAAACGTTGTCCATGGGGTCGAGATGGGTTGGACACGACTTCGCAGCTAACAACAACAATAGCAACAACAAAGACTGGCCATCTGAAGAGAAAACTTGTTTTCTCAACTACAACAATTCCTAAAAGGAGTCTCTGAAGACATCAAGCAAAATATTTGAGAGAACAATGAGGAGTGGGAAATTAACATTACTATGGTGTCAGAGGTGCTTGTGAAGTCCCCAGGTTTTTATGTACTTTGTGGCAATACAGTAAAGCAGAGCTCATCCAAATTTAAGCTGTGGAGCTAAATTATCACACAAACACAGAACTTGATTATAGCAACTGCAATGAGGGTATGAAGACTACAGAAGACATATTTTTTAAATTACTGATGTCATGTACTCTACATTTCAGAGTCATTGTTCAACTTTTTTGGCAGTGTAAATAAGCTTCAGTCTGGTTCTAATTACCTTACCTTCCTGCAGACTTCTGTGTTAGTTTCATGATGCTGTTGTGCTGAGGGTCTCATTTTCTTCAGCTTGTGATTTTGTATCTTAATTTGTGGCCTTATTATCTCCATGTAAGATTACATGGTGCAGCTCTAATTAATGGATACTTTGTGAATAAACTGTCTGGGAAATGAGATATAAATTAAGGTTTAATGTAATTAAAGTTAGTTTTGCCTTAATCAGCTTTAACTTTTTTCCATTCATTGCAATATGTTTTGTTTATTCTAAATCATTATTTCAAACTACTTTCATTATTACAGTAGAACAAACATGGTACTGTATACACTCACAAGATTATAGTTTTCTTTTCTTTTTTTTATAGTTTTTATTGAATATAAATATTAAAAAAGACATACGTAACATATACACAACAAACATTTATACAACATATACACAAAAAGAGTGTAATTTCTTCTTAAGCATTTTTTCAGAGTGACGTTCTACAATTCTACTTATGATATATTCCTTCACCTCTCCTTAATCTAATAATATTTTTTATTATATATATATATTTAAATTGGTAATATTTCCCCTATATTTTTTGTATATTTCTGATTTTTAACCAATTGTACCAATTATTCCATATTTTATAATAGTCTGATTCTTCTCTTTCTTGTAATTTTTTGGTTAACCTATCCATTTCAGTGCATTCTAAAATTTTCCCTATTACTTCTGTTTCACTTGGTATTTTTTCTTGCTTCCAATTTCTTGTGTAGGTTATTCTTGCAGCAGTTAATATGTGAATTGTGAGATATTTGATATCCTTAGGGTATGATTTGTTAAAGATTCCTAAAAAAAATGTTTCTGGTTCTTTTTCAGTCTGTGTTTTTGTTATTTGTTCCAACCATTTTTTGATGTTAGACCAAAATTTCTTTGCTGCCGGGCACGTCCACCATAAATGATAGAAAGTCCCCTGTGCCTTTTTGCACTTCCAACAAATCGGGCTATTTTTTAGGTTGTATTTTTGCCAATCTGGTTGGAGACATAAGCCACCGATAAAACATTTTCAGTTGGTTTTCCTTGTACGCCGTTGCTTTCGTTAAATTTAGGTTTGCCTGCCAGAACTTTTCCCATTTTTCCAAAGGTATTGTGTGTTTAATATTTTGGGCCCACTTAATCATCGTTTCTTTGACTGTCTCTTCTTCCAATTTATAGCATAGAAGAAATTTATAAATTCTACTAATTAATTTATTTTCTGAATCTAATATAATTTTATCTATTTCTTGTTTTTGATTATAAATTTCATATGTTTTTATATGTTCTCTGTATTTGGATTGTATTTGAGTATAAGTCCACCAGCCTATTTCTCTGTGTAAATCTGTCTCCAATTGTTGTTTTGTCTTTAATTTGCCTTGATAGTCAATTATATCTTTATATCTAATTATTTTTGTCTTATCTGTTAAATTTGGGTGCCTAATTGATTCTGCCGGTGCTAGCCAATTTGGTATCTTCATATAATGTTGTTTTTTAATTTTAAGCCAAATTTGTAATAATGAGTTCTTTATTGTGTGTCTTTTAAAATATGAATGTGTTTTGTATTTCTCATCCCACATAAAGGAGTGCCAGCCAGTTTGGAGTTTGTGTCCCTCAATTGTTAAAATTCTAGAGTCCTTTAATTCTATCCAATCTTTGACCCACGATAGTACTGCTGCTTGGTAGTATACCTCCTAGTCAGGGAGTGCAGCTCCTCCTCTATCTTTTGTATCCTGAAGCAGTTTAAATTTTATTCGTTGCCTTTTCCCTTGCCATATAAATTTAGATGTTATTTTATTCAGCTTTTCAAAAAACGGTTTATCTATTTTAATTGGGGTGACCTGAAACAAATATAAAAATTTAGGTAATATAGTCA